ATCATAAGACTTTATACATATAAATATGTAAGATAATGTATCCCAACTGGATTTTGGAGTCCAAAACTATAAATTTTTTTGTTTGGCAACTCTTTATTACATTAAACTAATATTTGAGGATACACGGTAAAAAGAGAAGAACATCTTCTTTGATTGCAATAATAAACCAAAATACGATGAAAAAAAAAACAAATAAATTTTTATAGAAAGTTGATAGGAATTTGAAACAAAACTCGAATACATCGGTAGAGAATTCATGGCATAGCCGGAATATTGCAACTTAGCTATTTTGAGGTGTGACGTTGAAACCAAACTCGAAAATAAAGTCGATTGCTTCTTCTGGCCTCGTGAATTTATATGCTTTCATTTTTGGGGTTTTCGAAGTGCAAATCTCACCAAACCATATAGATTTGACAACTGTTAATATTATTATAATTTTATTGGGTCAATTTTCTCATCACCCATTGATTGAAATTCAATCATAGCACATGCAAGAACAAAGCAAATTCCAAGATGATAAAAAATAATATAAAAGGTGTAATCCATGAAACACCTAGAGAAAGAATGAAGAAGAATTAGCCTTTCACACTTAGACTAACACAAAAACAAAAGTGAAACATAGTTGTTTAAAAGTGTGATTTGAGAATGAAATGGTCTACAACAAATTCACACAACAAATATCTAATTATTGCTAGACAAAGAATATATTATACAACAATGTATACATGGATAAATATAGACATGCATGGTTATGTGAAAAGGTTTAGAGTGGTGAGTGCATAATTATTGGAAGTAGGACCAAACAACTCTTGACTTTTTCATCCTTAAGGATTGGAATTAGGTTTGATATGTTTTCTTTCGTACCATAACCTTTATTTATTTATTATTATTCCGTGGTTTTTGGCCTTCATGGAGAGATAGTTATAAAGAAGTATACTTTTGTTTTTCATGCTTCTATAACTTGTACGTAGCATATCATGTGAATTATTAATTTTAGGGTCTAAATAAGGTGAAATGTGCTGAATTGTAGATGGAATTGGCTGAAAAATATAAATATATTGTTCAACTGATTACATTAAATGAAGAGAATTCGATATATTAAAATATTAAAAAATTCGATGAAAATTGTTTAGTCTAGTGAAAATCTAAAAATGGTGAAATTTGTTGAATTTATTTAACATGTTTTAAGTAACTTGTAAAATGCTAAAAGCATGGCATGAGTCTAAATTTTTGGTTGAAAATTGAAAATAATTGGGAATATGTCAAAATGTATGTGATCTACTTATAAATTGCAATATTCTTAAGTTTTTTTTTTTTATATATATAACTTTGTATGATGCTTATACTTTAACATAAGTTATCAAATCTACAAACTATTTTTGCTTCTAAAATTCTCTATGTTAGTCAGTCCATTAATTATATTGTCAGGTTCCACTATTGATTTACCATTTAGACTGTTTGTATTGGTTCAACAAATTTACAACATACTGTCAAATTACTGTATTTCAATAATTTCATTAGATGTGTCTTCCAATGTAAATAATCTCATATGTGTAATTTTCTTTCTTTTTGTAAAGATAGAAAAGCAACAAAAAGATGAGTTTGCATCTTATTTTCTGGGAAAACACATCAAAGAGTTAACAAGAGAAATCTTCAACATACATATCTGAAAATGTAGCAACAATTTTTTCCATCACTAACAAGAAGAAAATATTGAAAAGGCAAAGAGCCAACCCCACCTTCTTCACAGTTCCAGAGAAACCCCTGTCCAAATATTTCAGAGATTGAATTAGGACTCAGAAGAATGTATAAAGTAATCAGGTGAAACAAAATCATTGTCATGTTGAGAATCTCAGACCAACATTTAGGGTCAAAACCCATTGCTGTCAAATCATAGTGACAAAGACAATGAACAATATGAGGAAAAAAGGAAAGTATCACACAAATATGTAATAAGAGTACTCAATTGCAAGTGAGAAGGAGAAGAAGAAACACATCAAGAGAATCTTTTCTGTAGCTGTTGTGACATATATATGAATATATAATCCACCAAATAACAAGTGTATCTCTTGAAGAATCTTTAAAGCAGAAGATATTCAGACACAAAGGAGTTATAAGAACTGTACCAATTCCTAGCAATGATGATATCTGAGACAACTTATAAGTTCACATAACGTTGATCACGCATAAGAAGTTCTAAGCCTTGAAGTGTGAGAACATAAATGACTGTTCAGACACAGAGCTAAGTCGGTAAGAGCGTCCTGTAATTCAACGATGCTTCTTAAGGATTTATAAGGTACACAAATTAACTGTACCAATTCCTAGCCATGATATGTGAGACACAATTTACAAGTTCACAAACATTGATCAAGTCTGGATGTTCTAAGCCTAGAAGTGTGAGAACATAAACCAAACATAGAAGATAGAGTCTAACAAACAATGAACGAAACACTCTTATATCCGTTCTTCGGCTTAATAAACAAGTACCTAAAGGTTTCAGGAAATAGTAATACTGAGTAATTAGAGACTTATTAAGCTTTGAATGAAGAAGAAACTCTAAGCCTAGAAGTGTGAGAACATAAACCAAACATAAAAGATATAGAGTAATGAACAACGAAATGACTGTTCAGACACAGAGCATAAACCAAACTTATGTCCTGTAGTTTTACGATGCTTCTTAAGGAATTATAAGTCTGTAACAATTCCTAGCCATGAAGATATCTGAGACAACTTATACACTGATCAAGCATAAGAAGTTCTAAGCCTAGAAGCAGGAGAACACAAACAAAAACATAAACGATAAAGTCTCAAGAACAACGAAACACTCATATACGTTCTTCCTTAATAAACAAGTACCTAAAGGATTCAAGAAACAGTAATACTGAGTACTTAGAGACTTATAAAGCTTTGAATTAAGAGTAAATAGCATAGTGTGTCTTCAAAATTGATGAAATAAATCCGCAGAAATGAAGTCAATAATGGAATTATGCTTTATCCAAACTTCAGATATTTACAACAAGAATGAAAAGAAGTAAAAATCCAGACATTTCTCTAATGGAATTGATACAGAATCGATTGTGATTATGGTGCAAAACGAGATTTCTTCAAGAAATTGCTTAGATACTCAGTATTACACAAATCAAAAACCAAAGATAATGCATCAATCTCATCAATTCACAACGAAACCCTAAATCGAGAAATGAAGAACACGAAGATCTAATCTATTGCAGAGGAAAACCCAATTCAATCAAATCACCAAAACACCGCAATAACAAGACTAACCGGAAAGCTGGAATCGGCAAATCGGAGATCGAATTCTCAAGGGCTCAAGCATTAGCGGTTTTAGGGATAAGAGGAACACCACCATTATTCCCTTGTAATTTATTCTGTTTAGCCAAGGCTTCTTCTTCACGGATCTTCTTCATAGCAAGCATTCTCTCCATAACAAGCTCGTATTCACACTTCTCGTAAACGTGACGCTCGTCTTCGCATTTCCATGGAAGGAAAAACTCAGATTGACGACATTTGTTGAGAGGAATCAAGAGATGAGCGCATTGATCTCTGTAACCGAGTGGTACTTTAGCTTTAACCATCTCTTCTTGTGTTGCGATCATCTTCTTCGATGAACCTGGAACCTCCATTGTCGCGATCTCCAGAAAAACTCCAATACTCTCTGATTTTTGTTGACCCGCATATAGTCAGATTCTTTGTTCCGGGTCATATTGTATGCGCCCGTTAAAGATGGGCCGGTTTGATTTATTAAGCCCAAATTATATTTGTATATAGTAGATTAAATATTCGATGCTCGTAAGCAAAATTCTTACTTATCACATCGTCACATGTGTCTATGGACATATGTTAATAACTAAAACATATAAAAAAAAGTAGAAAACGATTTAAAAATTACCAAGTAACTAACAAAATAGTAAAAAGAAAAATTTCATTATTTCAAACTAATTAGAAAATAGATAAATTTTTAATAGTTGAAACTAATTTGATAAAAAAACAAAAATCTAATAGTTCAAACTAATTATAAAAATAAATTAAAAAATAATATATAGATAAACCGTAAAAAATAAAAAGTGAAGAAACAATAAATTTTATCTAAAAAAAATGAAATTAATGATAAAACAAAAGATATTTTATTATATAAAGGAGGACGCGCACGATAATAGCATAATACGTAATCAAAGTTATAGGGAGATTTGCAAAAATACCACAAATCCAAGTTCAATTTACGAGCATGCCACTTAAGCAAGCGCGTTTACAATTTTGCCACATATTTTCTAAAAAAGGACAACTTTGCCCCTGTCACAAAACACAATCTCTCGTTTTCTCTCTGATACCCTAATCGTCATTGTCATCGTCATCGCGATCTATACCGGAGCCGAGATCGTAGTCGGAGGCGTGATGAAAGAGATACAAAAGCATAAGGAGACGAGATCGTAGTCGGAGGCGTGATGAAAGAGATACAA